CATTGTTATTGTTGTTGTTCAGTCCTTCGGTAGTATCTGACTTTTCATGACCCATGGACCATAGCACATCAGACCCTTCTCTCCTCCACTCTCTCTTAAAGTCTGTCCAAATTCATGTTCATTTTTTCTGTGACATTATCTATCTCATCGTCAGCTGTCCCTTTCTCTTTTTCGCCTTCAGTCTTTCCCAGCATCCAGGTCTTTTCCAGTGAGTTTCATCTCATTATGTGGCCAGAGTATTTAAGTTTCAGCTTTGGTATTTGGCCTTCCAGTGAATAGCCTCAATTAGTTTCTTTAAGTATTGACTGATTTAATCTCTCCAAGGGTCTCTCAAAAATGTTCTCCAGAACTAGTGTCGATTTTGCAGTGCTCAGCTTTCCTCATAGTCCAAATCTTACAGCCATACATCATTACTGGAAAAACCATAGCTTTGACTATGTGGACCTTTGTTGACAAGGTGATGTCTCTGCTTTTTTGGTATGCTTCTGGATTTGCCATAGCTTCTTTCCAAGGAGCAAGTGTCTTAATTTCATTGCTGCAGTCACCATCTACAGTGATCTTTGAGCCCTAGAATATAAAATCTGACACTGCTTCCATTTCTTCTCCCTCTCCTTGCCATTCCTTTTCATTAGTTTTTTTAAATTTAAATTTTTTGTACCCCTTTCCAATAAGAATTTCTCATACTCTTCATTATTTATCTTCTCTTTCTGTTTACTTTAGACCCTCATTATCTGATTTATGACCCCTATAATCATCTGGTGTCTCCGTTTTCTCCGTTTCTTAATACAGTCAAAACTTCCAAGGTATCCATTTCAGGCTTTCTACTACTGCCTCCTACTGGCTTACTCTCTAGATTTCCTTTTTCCATTGTACTCTTATTGTACCTCACTCTCACAACAATGCCAGTTATTGTAGGTATTAGAGAAGATACTTCTCTGTGGTAGGGCTCGTCCCCCATCACTGATCTCTGCCCTTTCTTGTTGCTTTTTTTCCTGCATTTGCCTGAGAAGCTCCCTGTGTCCATCTGTGATCTCCTTTTGGCACTCCTCCAGGTGCCAGGTGCCAGGTGCCCACAGAGGTTCCAACTTTTCTCTCCCCTCCCACGACAAGTAGATGTTTCAAGCACTAAATCCCCTAGATTTCATGCCGTATAAGGTCTTCATCTTTCTTCACCATTCATTTGTGAAACCCCCTCCCACCTCCAAAGTAAGTACTCTTTGCCCCCCCCTTCAGTCTTTCTCTGCTGTTCAACCACTTCAGATGCTTCTCTTTCTGAGACCATAGAGGTCAGTGACCTTTCACTCATTGCTAGATTAGATTTTGACTTGACTTTGAACTTATCACTGTTTTTTCCCTTCCTTTCATGCATCCTTCCATGTTTTATTGTAGTCCCACAAAAGAAACATTCACTGATAGGCAGGGTGTTACTAGGTTCTGTCCATAATGCCCCTTACCTGCCTCTTCACTGTTATTTCTACCAAATTTCCACCTTCATATCTGAGGCACCCCCCTCCACCTCCACACACACACACACACACACACACACACACACACACACACACACACACACACACACACACACACACACACACACTGAGGAATAAGTCTCTTACTGATATATTCACTCCTCCTGCATTTGGTGTTTGGGAAGCAGCTCATCTCTTCATTTCTGATTTCCTTTCTAAAAGTGTTTCAAACTCTTTTTGGTTGTTGAATGTCCATCTTTTGTCCACTATAGTTAAACTCAGATTTGCAGGATAGGGCATTCTGGGCTGTATCCTTAGTTCCAGTGCTCTTCAGAACACCTATTCCATTCCTCCTCCTTTTTCTAGTGGGTATGGAATAAATATCTTGTGTTATTTGAATGTCATTTCCTTGTATTTGGAGGTCTTTTTCCTGATGATCAGCAGAACTGAATTCAGTTTCTGAATTGAATTGTTAAATTAACCACGCAGTATCTTGGACTTTGCAGCTTTATGTTTTGTTTTTTTTTCCCCCTCTGAAAATGATCTGTGAGTTCTTTCAATTGGAATTTCATCTTCTATGTTCAGAAGTTCTGGACAGTTCTCTTCTGTTTTTTGCTTCATTATGGTGCTAACTTTTTTTGTCCTGTAGTGTTCTGGGAGAACTATGATCCTGAGGTTGTCTCTACACATTGTGTTTTCAAGATAAGTAGGTTTTGCTTGCATAGTGATAGTATTTTTATTACTGTTACTGTCTTTTGCTTTTTCCCCTCCTAGATTGTCCTTCCCTTCTGTGTATTTGAATTCCCAGTTTGTTGTTCTCTCTTTTGCTTCTCTGGTAAAGTTTGCCATTGCAGATTCAAGTTTTTCCGTTCTGCTTATTATTTTTATTGTGCAAGGTATACATTCTGCTCTCATAATTCTCTTTTCTTTTTTAAACCACTCAGGAAGAATTTGTTTTGGTTGCATGTTCTCAAATTCCACAGGGTCCTCCATCTCATCAACTATTGAATTATTTTCCTTTATTTTGCAGTATTTATTCATAGATGCCCAAATTCATTTACTAGATCTGAGGTCATATTTCTTTATATTGTTACTCTTCTTCTAGTTGATTTTTCTGTTTAAGTTCAAAGTATTTGAAATTACTTCCCTGAAATCTTTGGTACTTTCCAGTCTTTTTTTTCCACCTTATTTTCCTTTACCACTTACTTCCTGACTTCCTCCCCTCTGATTATGGTGTCAGTGTCCTCCCACACAGGGCAATTCACCAGCCTACATCTCTGTCCCTCTGCAAAAATGTTGCCCCTGTTGAATGAGGGGAGTGGATTATTGGATCTCTGAGTACCTTTCCAGCTGTAATCCAGTGATTTTTATGTGGTCTTCTGTCAGGAGTATCCTGTAGCTTTTTTGTCACAAGTGACAATACTTTAGTTTGGATATATTTTTTGAGTAGCCATAAATGGCCCAACTGGGTTCTATGCTTCTTCCTTCAGGCTTGGTGGAATGCTGCACAGCTTCCCACATGCACACTGTCCTGTCCTGGTGGCCTGTTCCAATCCCTCATTTCTCTGGTTTGACACCAGCAGTTCAGAGCCTGTTTTTTGCTGGCACCTGAAGTTCATTGCTTTGCAGTACTGGTGCAGGCTTAGATCTAGGATCTGCATGGCACTGGAAAGAGGGTGAGGGGCACTGGGGTGTAGAAATGGGATTTGAGGTAAACCTGTTTTGGCTTTGGGTCTGCTAGTGTAGCCTTGTTGGTAGTGTGTTAAGTTTGGAAGGGGTACAGAGTGGACTCAGAGTTCCAGGGTTTTTTGTTTTAACCTTCTTTTGGATTCTGGGTATCCTAAACTATGGAAATAGCTGAAGTTGCTTAATCTTTGGTGTATGATTTTTGTTTTGGAGAAGTTTGAGAGGTTGTGGGCATCAAAGAAAATGCTTAGTCTACCATTTTCTTGTTCATGTGTCCCAGAAGTCTGGCAGTTAGTTATTCTTGTATAAATTGTATTCTTGAATAAATGTCTTTTTCCCTCTCTGTTCCCATTGTAATTCACTCCTCCTCTGCCTGCCTTCTATTTGGCGGGCTGTTTCTGTATTCTTCACCTTTATTTCCGTGATTGTTAACAGGAATTGGCTTAGATCAGGGTTCTTAATCTGGGTTCCGTGAATTTATCTTTTTAATATTTTGATATTACCATATTTTACTATAATTGATTTCCTTTGCAATCCTTTGTATTTTATTTCATGTGTTTGAAAATATTATTCTGAGAAGGGATCAGTATGTTTCACTACATTGCCAAAGAGAACATGACAAAAAAAAGCTTAAGAACTTGTATATTAGATGATCTCTTAAAGTTACTTTGAACTTGGATTCTGTGCTTTATGGTACTTGTCTGAATTTCTTTCCCTTTGTCCCTCGATTCCACATTGGTCATAAATTAAATATTTTAAAATGTTATATTTATTGATTGGTCCTATCTTAGAGTATTATAATGAATCTCATTTTAGAATTGAGGAAATTATGAACCACGGAGAAGTAACTTACAGAAGGTCACATAAGTAATAAATAACATTACAGAAAACACTTAGAAGTTTTAACTATTGGGTTTGGAGTCAGAAAACTCAAATAGGTTCAAATTCTGGTTCTGTTATTTATTACCTTTGCAAGTTTGCTCAAAGATCTGTAACTTTTCTGGACCTCATTTTCTTTGTGTATAGACTAAAGGATCTCTCAGTACCTTTCCAGTTATAATCCAGTGACCTCTGTGTGGCCTTCTGTCTGAAGTATGCCATACTTTTTTGTGTGTGTGTCACAGGTGGCAATACTTCTGTTTGGATATAATCTGTATCTTTATTACAAAAAATATATTAGAAATGAAGAAGGGAACTGAGAAGTTGTTACTGAAATATCTCGGTCAAGTTTTTCTAGTAATTAATGTGTGTCTTCCCCATTCCCGTGGATTACATTTCTTTTGAGACTGAAAATCATGTTAGAACTCAATCCAGGTATCTGTTGCAATAGGGTATTTATTCAGATTATCCATAATTGCTTTCTAATTTTTTTCTTTTTCTGTTTGGCAACTCTAGGCATAATACTGTTTTTTTCCACCCAAACCCCCATTTGTATCTGTCTCTCCTTTCAGAATGGCTGTTAGACCATTTTGCTGTTTGATCATACTTGTCCTTTTCCTCCTAATTTAAATGTGGCAACATATTTGTAACTAACAGGTGCCGCAGTAATGAGATGCATACCAAGTTTGATATGAGCTGCCACTCAAGCAAAGTTTTTGAATGATTATGGCAACTAATGTAGTACCATTTTATTTGGGATGGCATGGAAAATGAAATGAGACATATTTTGTGAAAATATGCCACTAAATTGACTGACATGTTATATGTTTTATATTATGTATTCTTGGGGAGAAAATCTCGAATAGCAGTTTTGCTTAATACAGGCTTATAACATCCTATCTTTTCTGCTACAATAACACAAAAGTATAAGCAAGTTAAAAAGAATTTTTTTTTCTTTTACATTTGCAGATGGTTTGTTCAATCAGTATATCAGTCAACAGGAATATAAGCCACGGTGGAGTCAGATTATCCCTAAAAGCACCAAAGGTGAGTCAGACATTTCAGAATTTAAATGCTTTTGTTTAATGCAACTTTCTCTGCAGTTTTGCTGCACTAGGAAACCCTAAAACATAAATAGTAACAGTAGGATTTTAACTGGGTAGGGCTAAAAAGGCATTAGCCTTCCTCCACCTTGTGCTTAGCTAAGTATGTTGTGTTTTTTTATGCTAGTAAAGGATTTATTTAAAGTCTTTTTTGTTGCATTGTTGTACCAGTGTTTATACTCATTTATCCCATGTTAAAACAAAAGCTTCTTACTAGAACATAGGAGTAGCATAAACAAATGAAATTCATAGACAGTACAAAAAAATTTATTAAGCCTTTTTTTTTCAAGTCACTTCTATGCCAATGCTCTACCAAAGATAGAAAAACCTTTTCCTGGCTTTTTCAGTGTAGTGAGATGAAGAATCCTAAAATTGGTCAGTAGCAAAGAGGAGGAAAAGTGAAGCTCTTGTGGATGATCTTGAATAGAAGTCGTCTCTGACTTTTTTCAATCACCTATCTTATTTTTTAGGAATTATAAACTGACATGTCATCCTTCTGCCCACTCCCTCATGTGATATAGATGAGAAACAGATATAGTCACTAAAAAGCTGAAGCTGGGTACTCTTACTTGTCAAATAATATATTTAAATTTTTGTACGAGCTGAAAATACAATCCTAATATTTTGGCTTCTTAGTCAAAGACTAATCTCTTGACTCATTGAAGTAGATGTTATGTCTTCATCTATATAAGATTGCATTTATTGACAAATCTTTTTACATCCCATTAATTTTTGAATGTATCTTTTCCTCCTCTGATAACTCAGCATGTCATGTATTTTTTCCACCTCTTTTCTGGAACCAGACTTGGTCAATATAATTACAATGTTCCTTTTTTTTTCTTTTCCTTGATATTGTTTTCATATTATATTGTTTTCCTAATTCTACTTATTGTACTCTATATATCAGTTCATTTAAAGTTTCCCATGTTTCTCTGAATTCTCTATGTTTATTGTTTCTTATAATCTAGTAACATTCTAATGTATTCATGGATCACAGTTTATTAAACCATTCCCCAATTAATAGGCTGCCTTTTGTTTTTACGTCACATTCTTTTCCAGTTATGTTCCTCTCACTTCACACTATCTAGTGATATCCTCAAGGAGAAGTATTTCAGTGAATATGTTTGAACCTTCCCAGTAAGCTTAGTGGTGAGCATAAAAATCACAGTGGAACAAAGTTCATCATTTTACATTTTACTATTCAGATAATTAAGTGTGTCATGAATTTATGACATTATTGCTTATCCCAGATTATGGTTTCTCCATGATTTAGTAGATTGTTTTCATATGAAGTTTTAGTGGCTGAAAAAAAAGTTACCTGTAACAAACACATTCAGTTGTGGAACCTATTTATCTTAGCTTTAGGTAGGTCCTGCTAAATTATCCTTTCTGTTAGCTTAGTCTTTGAGAGCCCAAGGTTGTCTTCACAACATAATGAAGCAATTGTTAATGACTTTATTTGAAGACTAATCAAATCAAGCATAGTTCTTAAATTGATGGTGGAATGGAATGAATGGTGAATTTTTTTGCCACCAAATTAAGGTATTGTTGATGGAAAATTTAAAGCACTTATCTTTATAACATCATGGTTCTAATAGTTAACTGTACTGTATTCTGAAAATTTTAAAACCTGCTCATTACCCCATATGCCCCTAAAAAATCCATAAAATCCTATTATAGACAGTTCATAATGACAATTAGAGATAATTATAATCATGTTGTTATATTTTTTCCTTTTATTTGGACTGAAGAATTTGACCCAAGTTTTGGAGGACTGCATGTATATCTGAAGTATCATAGAATAAATCTTAAATAGAAAGTAGCCTATAGTGACAGTAATGTCTTGAAAATAGATGGACAGTGAATCTTAAGACAGCGGCAACCTTATGTTGATTTGTTTGTTCACTGTTCTTATTTGGAGTGTTTCTAAGGAAACAGTGTAGGCAAATTTCTGTAATGCATTGTTTGTACCTGCCTGTGAAAAGTATCCTTTTGTTCTTTTAAAATCAAGTGAAAGGATTTTCACATTGTTGATTTTATTTATCATCCTAGGTGATGGAGAAGATAGCAGACCAGGAATGAGAGGTGGACATCAAATGGTTATTGATGTTCAGACAGGTAAGCATTATTTCTGGACAGAAGAATTTTATTAAGTTAGTTAACTTCACTGTATTAATTTCATTCAAGCATGACTATGCTTTTCACCAAGATGCATAGGTACTGTGGACAATACCTAATGTAGAACTAAAGAAGAAACTTTTAGATTGACTGAAATGGCTAAAAAAAAAGTGTTGGCACATGTCTTAAAAGAAATTTACTTTGTGGTATTTTATCTTGTTTTTGTTTTTTTGTTGGATTTTCATAAAACTTTGTTGTAGAGGAGTGTTATGTGTTTTCAATGTGATTATGTGTCTTTTAACCCAGTGAGATGAGAATTATTAGAATGAAGGCATTGGATCAAGGGATATTAATAAGTATGTGGGAAGCTGATGTAAATTTGGTGGCCCATGTTTATTTGCAAGCATACTTCATGCTATTAATATTTTGGTATTGAAGAGCCTTGTACTCAGGATGTATACTTATGTTTCTTCAACTTATTTTAATGAAAGTAGATTGAGGTCTATAATATTTTAATGGTTCAAAACCAAAATATAGTTAGATATTACCGTTTAGAAAAGAAAATAACACCATATACTTAGGATGACAGTATTTTGTTATTTGAATTTTGAAAAATCTCATCTTGGTACACAGATGGCCAGTATTTGCATTCAAGTAATATTTTGCTTTTTGCATGTTATACACAACACACACACACACACACCCCATTTATTCAACTAATCTTTCTCATAACTTTTCAAGAAAAAAATAACTTTCTGCCAACTCAATTAGGAAAAGAATAGCTAGCATTTATATAGTCCTTTAACATTTTCAAAGTTATTTTATTTTATCCTCCACCAACCCTGGAGGGGGGTGGAAGGTAAGTGCTATTGTTATCCCCATTTTACAGATGAGCAAACTGAAGCAGATAGCAGTTATGTGACTTACCCAGGACCACACAGCCAGTCAGTGTCTAATGCTGCATTTGAACACAGGTCTTATAGCTCCAAGTATAATGTACTATTACTTGTACCGCCTAGCATATTATCGTGTAGAATATTTGAGTTTTGGATCTTCATTCATTTCCAGTTAAATTTTTTAAAGAAACAGATACTCAACATGAAATTTTTACTTTAGAATTAAGGTACAAATTTTTAAATCATATTTATTTTATATCACATGTTGTGTTTGGTCTCTGAGATGCCATAAATATGACTGAGGACCTGTATGTACACCTAGATAACACAAACACGCCACTGATGCTTCTGGTAGCTTCTCCTAACAGCCAGGTGCACGTGGAGCAAAGGTAGGAGGAAAGAACCCCCAAAACCCTACATCACCATACCTAGACTGCTTCACCATCACTGTGAGAATCATTTGGCCATTGTTCTTCAACCATCTTACGTGTCCTGCTAATATTGGCCATTTTGAAAAACAAATTAACATAGGTGGTACAATGCATAGACTGCTGGACTTGGTTGGAACCAGAAAGACTTGAAGTACTAGCGTTGTGGCCCAACTAAAATTCCGTCTTTCACTGGAAGCCTTTCTCAACCCTTCTTAAATCTAGTGCCTTCCCTCTGTTAATTATTTCTTATTTTTCTGGCATATAGTTTTGTATATATTTGTGTGTTGGCCCCCCTCTAGATTGTGAATTCCTTGAGGGTAGGAACTATCTTTTACCTCTTCTTGTTACCCAGCACTTAGTATAATGCCTGGCAAATAGTAGGTACTTAATAAATGTTGATTGATTGATTGACTTGAAGGAAGCCAGGAGGTGGAGATAAAAAGGGAAAGCATTCCAGTCATAGGAAAATGCCTGAGCTGAGGAATGCAAGATCTTGTTCATGGAGCATCCAAGAGGTCATTGTCACTGGATCAAAGAGTATGTATCCAGGAGGAAAATAGAAGAAGACGGGGGCTGGGTTGTGAATGGTTTTGAATGCCAGACGAAGGATTTTGTACTTGATCCTGGAGATAATAGGGAATCACTGGAGTTTATTGAGTATAAGGGTTATGTGGTTGGACCTATGCTTTAGGAAAGTAACTTTGGGGCTGGATGAAGGATGGATTGGAGCTCACTCCAACAAGAGTTGAGACTGGTAAACCCACCAGCAGTCATTTGTAGTAGTTAGAGTGAGATATTGACGCCCTGTACCAGGGTTGTTGGTGGCAGTATTCAGAAGAGACAAGGGGTTGTAATCCAGAGATATTGCAAAGCTGAAATTGACAGGCCTTGACAATAGATTGTATATAGGGGAGTGACAGATAGTAAGGAGTCGAAGTTGATACCTAGGGTATGAGCCTGGGGGGCTGGGAAGATGGTGTTGCCATTAATAGTAATAGGGAAGTTAAGGAAGGGGAGGTTGTAGAGGGAAAGATAATGAATTCAGTTTTTGGACATGTTGAGTTTGAGATGTCCGAAAGACAGTTGGAAGTTGAAAATGGAGGTCAGCGGGAAGATTGAAACAGGATGGGTAGATGATCAGCATAGAGATGATAATTAAATCCATAGAACTGAGATCACCAAGGGATATGGTATGAAAGTAGAAGAGAAGAGGCCTAGTAGAGACATGTAGGGCACCTATGGTGTTAGAGAGTGTGACCTAGCAAATGATTATCTAGCAAAGGAGACTGAGAAGGATCAGTCAGACACATAGGAAGTGACTTGAGAGAATGGTGCCCTGAAAACCTAGAGAGAAGAATATCAAGGAGGAGAGGGTGATCAGCAATGTCACAGGCTCAAGAGAGCCATTGGATTTGCTAACTAAGCTATCACTGGTAACTTTGAAGAGTGAAGATTCCATGGAATGAAAAAGTCAGAAGCCAGATTGTAAGGGGTCAAGAAGACGTATTCATATTCACCCTACATTAGGTATATTTATTTTGCAGTGATTGCCACCCCCTGGATGGGAAACTGTTGAACTATAATGTAAAACATTTTATAGTAAATACATTACATAGGTACTAAGCAAAGTGTTCTATGAGGTCTGAAGAAGATCATTTACAACCCCAGGGCCTGGGGTGGGGGTGGGGTGGGAGGGAGGAGGGCACCAGGGGCAGCGCATAGAGATGGTTGGAGACAGCAGAGAATGTCTTTATCTATAGAAGGACATTGAATTGGACTTTAAAGGATGGTTAGGTATACAACAAGCAAAGAAAAGGAGATCATTCCTGACATAGGGAACAGTATCAAGAAAGAGACAGAAAACAAAAATTTGTCTTAGAATATATAAAGTAGAGTATAATAAACCTAGAAAGGTGAAGGGGTGCTGGATTGTGGGGGACTTTGAATGGCAGGCAAAAATGTTAAAACATTATTTAGTAATATGGAGCCACTAAAGTTTTTTGAGCAGACAAATGATAGGGCCAGATTTATGCTACCATACCAAGGTGGTATGGAGGCAAGACCTGTTCTGTTGCAGTATTTTAGGCAGGTAATAATGAAATGCAGTTCTAGGGTGGGGCTGTTGATGAGCATAAAAGTAGAAATGGATGTGAAATATTATGGAGTTGATGTCAATCATCAGGAATTGATGACTTTGGATATGATGATAGATTGCATATGAAGTGGGAGAGAGAAGGAAGAGTTAAAGTTAGCACAAAAGTTTGAAACTTGGGAAAGTAGATGAATGGTTGTGCTACTTAATAGAAATAATGTAGTCAGAAGGAGCCAATTCTGAAGAAAAGATAATAAACTTTATTTTGTGCAGGTTGAATTTGAAGATATGCTGGTGGAATCACCCACTTGACAACTGAGGTAGAAGCTTGGAGTTTAGAAGAGTGATCAAGGATACAGATCAGTGGTCGACAGATACAGCTGTGGAAGTCAAGCACATTAGAATCAGGAACTTTTTGGGAAGGGAGGAAGATGTTTGTATTTCTTTCTTTTGGCTTCTGACTTCCACATAGTATAAGCTTAGTCTTTAGTTATTTGTTCTGGAACTGTAATTCCTTTGGTGTAATGAAGTTGAGGGTTGGTCTGTGCCAGACCCTTAATATGCATACATTTTGTCAAATTAAATTAAATTCAATTAATAGGGCCAATTTGCCCAAGATTTAAGCTGAAATTTGGAATTCTGGTCTTTTAAAATGCTTGGTGTCTAATTCCTGGTGTCTACTGACACTTGATTGTGCTATGGGACTTCCATAATCTGTTTCCAGTGGGGAAAGGCTGAATTTGAGGCCTCCACAAAATCTTGAGCCAAGTGGTTGTTTGACCCTTTATTAGTTTAGAAGCTGAAAGAATTGGGAAGTATCTTATCTACAAAATTCCATCGTTTCCATTTACCTTTCAGCATTTTATTCTGTTCAATGTTATGCTCTTCTCTGGCTGCTATAGGCCCAATCTTGGAAGATAACTTTGGGACTACCTTCTTTTTGAGCCCAGATGTTTGTGGCCCATAATAGCTTTCCCTCCCAGATAACATTTATATTTTAACAAAGTAACAGGTGAATTTCAGAGCACCTTGGACGTTCCCACTTTGTACATTGCTGGTGGCTGTGTCTTTTCCATGGCTTAGCATAGGAAATTGCTCAAGTTCAAATCCCTATTCTGAAGTGGTAAATTTCTTTTTCCGCTTGCACATGACCCTAAAATACACTTCATTACTCTCATTTTTTCTTCCATTTCAGATCCTTTATTGGGACCACTGATTTGGTTAATAAAATTTGTATGGTTTGAATAGGAAGGAAGAGACTATTTGTTATATATTAGAATACATGATCAGTGTATTGTGTCCAGACAATTAGGAGTGTAATATTGTTAAATTAACTTACAGTGTTGGGGAGGAGTGGAATTAGCTATATGGATCTATAATTCAATGAGATAACACTGACTGTATGAATTACTCTTTGAAGATAAAGAAGCATTAGTCTTGTGTTGGCCACAGATAAACTTTGTTATTGGGAGGGTTTAAAGTTGGCAAGTGAAACCCCTGACATGGTTATTAGAGGGATTGACATGAGGATTTTTGGTTTGGCATGCTAGCCAAATTCCTTTATCCCTTTCAAGGGGTTTA